ACTCACCTCAGCCTCCCAAAGGCGTGGGATGACAGGCTGAGCCACCGAGCCCGGCTGATTATGTGTTCTTTATAAGTTGGGTCGGTGTGCTGATATTCTATGCAGGACTCTTTGTGCTTTGCTGGTTGTCGGTCTGCAGTTTTCTTGTGCTGTTTTTGGGTTTGGTGTTGGGGCAGTGCTGGCCTCCTAGAATGAGTTGGGGACTCTCTTTCTTGGTTTTCCAGAAGATACTGTGTAGAGTCAGTGTTGTTACTGCCCTAACATTGGGTCAGTCCACCAGTGAAGCTTCTGCTCGCTGACACAGAGCTGCCAGTGTAGATGCGTCGGTTCTCCCTACGGACGCTTCTGCAGGAGTTAAGGAAGGAATGAAATGCTGAGAAACTGTAGCTTAAGGGTTGCCTGATCCTGGTCTGGACACCATCGGGGGCCGTGGGAGCTCCTTCCTGACATGAGTCGTGGTCGCTGCAGGTACTGTCCCTGGACACAAACATCACAAACCAGGTGAACAAGCTGAACCGAGACCTCCTTCGCCTGGTGGATGTTGGCGAGTTCTCCGAGGAGGCCCAGTTCAGAGACCCCTGCCGCTCCTATGTGCTCCCCGAGGTCATCTGCCGCAGCTGCAACTTCTGCCGTGACCTGGACCTGTGCAAAGACTCCTCCTTCTCCCAGGTGGGACAGCTGAGCCGAGCACTCTAGGAACAGGCCCTTGGCCAGTAGAGGCAGGCCATCTGTGACCATTGTGGGGTCCTGCGGGTCACACCCCCACCCCCCACCTCTCCTGTAGGTTAGGAGCAGGCAGGAAGCCAGGGTTGAACATGTGCAGCCAGCAGGGGCTTGTCCCCTCAGCCCAGCCCAAGCTCTCCTGCACGGCGTCTCCCAGAGATGCTTCTCGTGGCACTGTGGCCCAGGGCTGGGCCAGTGACCGCTCCCCTCTTGCTCCGCTTAGGACGGGACAGTCCTGCCTCAGTGGTTCTGCCCCAACTGTCAGGCGGCCTACGACTCATCTGCCATTGAGATGGCCCTTGTGGACGTTCTGCAGAAGAAGCTGATGGCCTTCACCCTGCAGGACCTGGTGAGCCACAGGGCCTGCCATGTCCCCCACACACCCTGTAGTCAGCAGAGGGGTTTCTGTGCGTGAGGGTTTGGGTTTGGCGTGAGGACTGGGGCTTGTGCCACAGGGACCCAGGTGGTGAGGCGGCGGGTGGGCCCAGGAGGGGCAGGCGGGCTGGCGCCCAACAGGGCTGCTCTTGTTTCAGGTCTGCCTGAAGTGCCGCGGGGTGAAGGAAACCAACATGCCTGTGTACTGTGGCTGCGCCGGGGACTTTGCCCTCACCATCCGCACTCAGGTGGGCTCCTGACAGGGTCATGGCCTCTGACCCTTGCCCTCACCTGCCTCGGCTCCGCCTTGCCTCATTGATCTCTCTGGGTGGGATTGGGGCCTCACAGCATCTGCCTGTTCCTACAGGTCTTCATGGAGCAGATCAGAATCTTCCGGAACATTGCCCAGCACTATGGCATGTCGTACCTCCTGGAGTCCCTGGAATGGCTTCTGCATGAGAGCCTTCGGCCAGGCCGGTAGCAGGCCCTGGGACACGTTGCATGCGCGCCAGTCTCCCGAGACGTTCTCAGCCCCATGTGACTGGGGCCGTGGACCACCTGACCTCCAAACTTGTGACTACAGTCCAGGGGACAGAGAGGGAATGAAGGAAAGCAGTTTTGGGAAAGCGCCGAAGTGGCATGAGTGACAGGACAGGAAGCAGCTGCGACCTGGTTGAGCCGCCCACGGACACAGGTCATGCTGAGAAGTGCCTTGGGAGTTCCGAGGGGTTGTTTCTACAGAATAAACCCATTTCGAGACCTCTGTTGCTTTCTGCACCCTGCTGGGTAGGGAGAGATGGGAATTCCCAAGGCCCCACCAGCTCTTCCTGCTTCCTCGAGGTGCAGCTGGGCTCCTGAGCCCCTGAGATTGGGCTCTGAGGTGAGGCGGTGAGCTGCAGCTGTGGTGGGATGGAGACTCTTGGTTCCCACAGAGGAATGGACCATCCCCACAGCCCACAGGAGCGGGACTTAGGCTTGTGTCCAGGGAGTCCAGGCCTCAACCCTGTGGGCATCTGGATTGGGCTCCTGCCTGTGGTGCCTTGTTTAGAGCAGGGTCTGCAGGGGAAGCCTTCGCGGGGCGACTCGGGCCTCTTCTCAGTCCCAGGAGAATGGGCGGCCTCCCCGCCCCCATTGACTGCACACAGCCCTGGTCGTTCACTTCCTTTGCAGGGGGCCAGCCAGAGGCAAAAAAGACTGGCCGTGCTGGTGTGACAGCAAACAGACGTAGAGGAGCTCATACGCAAATCTCAAATCTCAGCTCGGTGCTCCTAGGCCTGTCTCTGCTTCCTCCCTGCTGTCTGATACCTTCCCATTTTTATTTAAACTTTACGTTTGAGGTTCTCTAGATTGTTACTGCGTGCGTATCTGCATGGCGCCAGTCTGGAGGACTGAACATCGCTGGGCCCTGTTGGCCCTGGGTGCCACTTAGGCTGCTGGCCTGGAGAAACCTGATGCCCACTCAGAAGACGGAGACCAAGGCCTCCAGAGTGTAGATCAAATCAAATTAGGGCGACCGGGGGAGGAGGGGGGAGCCCCGCTGACTGGGCTTCATTCCGGGAAGCGGAGCCCAGGCACGCCAAGGGGGGTGAGGACCATGGGGCCAGGGGACAGCCTCTAGTCCCCAGCAAGGCCGTTGTGCAGTGGGGTCTGGGGCTGTGGGGCATGCTGTTGGTGCCAGCGTGGCTGGGCTCACTGGGGCCAGCTTAGGGCCAGGGTGTCTGAGTGTGGAGGGCCTGGGAGGAGGAAATTCGAGCCCCTGTCTTGGTCTGAGCAGTGGCCAGCGGCCCAACTGGAAAAGCCAGTTCCTCCAAGGCCAGAGCTGGACATCAGGAAGCCGCACACAGGATGTCATAGGCCTTTGGGTGACCCACGGAGGCTGATACTCAGGCCTGGTGGCTGGGGCAGGTGGGGAGAGTTGAGCTGAACCAGACTCCAAACTCAGGCTTTGGGGTCAGACAGGGTCTTGAGTTCGGCCTCTTTGGCCCTGGAGATTGGCCTTGCTGTCCTGAGCCTGGGTTTCCCGTACATGAGGTACAGTGTTACCTGCACTGTCATACGTGAGCCCTGTGGGAGGCTATGAGGTACCTCCTGGGTCTCCCCTTTGGGTGCTCCCTCAATCCCGAGCCAAGCTCCAGGCTCTACAGGCATCCGCCTGGCGCTGCAGCATCCAAGGCGACGGTAACCTGATTACCTGCAGGCCCTGATCCAGTTAGTGCCAGCTCCTCATCCGCCCTGCTGCTGCCGTCGGCGAGCACTCTGGCTTGAGGCCAGTGGAGTCTGAGCCTTCTCTTGTGCACAACTTACAGCTCCCTCTCAGCTTCGTTCTCAGAGTCCAGCTGTCCTTTTGATATGAAGTGGCACCTGTGTGGGGTGACCCTGCAGGAGCAAGGGCACTGCTGAGGTGGCTTGGGGCCAGGGCAGGGATGCAGCCATGTCCTAGTGCACTGGACGGACCTGGCTGGCTGGCCATGGGGACAGCCAGATGTGGTGCAGACATGTGCCCTGCACTCTGCACCCAGGCTGTCTAGAGGAGCGGTGACCCAGACCAGGGGCACCGTGCAGCTCAGTTCCAGGTAGCAGCACCCAGGCAGGGCCCAGCACCCCATGTAGTGTTCTCTCCAAGGAACGAGACCAGAAGGTTGGTCATAGGTTTATTGGACTCTGCGCATGTTGTGACTTCTCAGGGAGGCATCGAGGCAGAGTTCAAGGATACAAAGCTGGCGAGGGAGGGGGACCTCTTAGCCCCAAGACCAGGGTGAAGCCCCTCAGAACTCAGCTAACTTGGGGCTGTGAGCACAAATGTGTGGTGGGGAGCTCTGTAGGGACCCGCTGGGGTGACGGGTGGAAGCGCAGACCTGGACAGGACTCGGACCCCGCCCCTGGCACAGGGGTGCTCTGACTCCGTCCCCTGGAGACACCAGGCCATGGAGGTGCCCAGCCTCCTGTGCAGAGCAGTCAGAGGCTCTTGTCGCTGGCCCCATGGGGCCTGCAGTGCCGTGTGACAGGAAGGACAGGAGGTTCAGAGTCGAGCCAAACCTTGGGGGTCCGTGGGTGTGGAGTCCTGGGGAGGCTCGGAGATGGGAGGCCTCTGTCCCACATTCCGCTTGGGAGCATCCACCATCTGCTCAGATGGGGCAGAGATGGGGCGAGGCCGCGGGGCCTGGACAGCCAGGCCTGGCTCTGCCCCTTGGCCCTCTGGGCCTGTGGGAGGGCTGGGCAGCTGGCCCTCAGAGCGGTGGCCATGTGGGGGAGGGGCCTGGCCCAAAACCAGGGCAAGGGTCACAGGCCAGCTAGCTGTGGGGTGCCTTGGTGTACACACCTTGTCAAACTTCCTGTGGCTGTAGACCTTGTTTTTGTTCATGAACGTTAGCAAGATCCAGTCGCACAGGAAGGAGCCCTGGGGCCAGCAGAGACCGGTGTGTGAGGGCCCAGCAGACCCTCCGTCCCCCCGGCCCCCGAGTGGGATCCTTACCACCCCGATGGAGGTCAGAGCTGTGGCCAGATTAATGATGGTGGGGATCAGGCTGAACTTCCCGGCCTGGGGAGAGCAGGCGTGTCTTGAGACTATCCCATGTGGGCCTCGGGCAGGTGGGGCCCGGGGCGGGACAAGCGGGAGGCTGAGCCAGCTCTACCCTGGGTAGACCCCCAGTCCAGGCGGGCAGGGCTGGCCACCCCAGCGGGCTACCTGTCCGTGCACAATGACGTCAATGCGGATGCCGTAGGCTTTGAAGAGTGTTCGCGTGCTGGTGCCGTTTATCTCATAGTACTTGGCAAACCTGGAAGCAGTGACCGTAGCCCACGTCCAGGCTGCCTCACCCCTGGAGACGGCGGGGAGTGCCCGCCGATCTCCGGCCCTAGCCAGGCGGACACGCTACCTGAAGTTGTAGCCTGACGAGGCAGGGATGTGCTTGGGGTCCAGCCTTCGGAAGGAGTACCTGGGGTTGCACTCAGACGCTGACAGGTCCAGGTCGCAGTCCCAGTTGATGATGACCCCTATGACGCCACCCTGCCAGGGAGGGAGCGGGGAACGGGGTCAGAAGACGCAGGAGAGGCCCTGGGGAGCGTGTGGGACGCGCCCTGATGGGTGTCCAGCCTGAGGCTGGCGTGGTGCTGGCTGCCAGCGTGTGACCAGGTGTCAATAATTTAGCAGGCACCACACGCACGGGACAGGCCCCAATCAGATCGTGTTGCTCCTCTGTGGGGCCCAGAGGGGCGCCTCTGCGTCACCTGGCGCAGGGAAGGCCGGCCCCACTGCTCCCGCCCACCTTGTAGGCCAGCTCCGTGAAGTTCTCGCCAGCGCGCTCCACCACAAAGCCCAGCCTGAAGATAGGGCAGTACGGGTCAGAGGCCTCGTGGAACTGGCAGTGCTTCAGGTACTCGTCGCTCCGGGGGGCGATGTTGCCCCTGTGGGGGGGCAGTACACCCTGTACCCAAAAGCACAGGTCCCGGGGTGCGCCGCCGCCGCCCCCCGCCCGGCCGTCTTACTTGGAGAAGTGGAATTTGGGGTAGTGGATACTGTTCTTGATGAGGATGGTGAAGTTGGGGGCCATCTCGCCCAGGAACTGGCTGAGGAGGAGACAGGCGTTCAGTGCCCACCCGCACAGGCCCCTTTCCCTGGCCCCAGGGTCACTCCCGTCCCGGCACGGCTGGTGTCTGGTCAGCGAGGGGGAGGGGCCCAGACCCCCGGGGAGGCGAGTGCACCTGACAGAGGCCCCGTCCTCCACAGGGCACCAGCCGGACACCTCGCAGGTCTTGGAGGACCCCTGGTAGTAGGGCACGCAGCGCCCGGTCCGCAGCCCTGTGGGGCAGACGCCGGCTAAGCGGCCGAAGGGGCCAGCCCCCCCCACCCCTGCGCGCCTCAACTGACCGTTCCCCAGCATGTCCAGCTCGCCGGCCACGCAGTCGTCGTCCGAGTGGCAGGTGGCATTGGGGACCCTGACGCTCTGGGGCGGAGACGCCGGGTCAGGACTCTGCGGGGCGGGTGGTCCCCGCGGAAGGCTGGGCGCCTCCCCGCGTCCCGGCTCACCTCGGGGCAGGTTCCCAGGGCCTGGGCGGGGGTGACCTCCAGC